TGGTGCTGAAAAGAATACCGCGTGCTATGACATTGGTAAGCCCACTAGCACTAGTCACTATTTTTCTTAATCCAATAATCGCTAGAATTGCATTTCTCAATTGATTTCACGCAGTCGTTGTGCTCTATCGTGCGTACGCTCTTAATGGTATGAAACCACGTAGGTACCAAGAACCAGTCCTTCACATGAAGAGGTGGGGCTCCTCAACGCAGGAGGCGTGGAACTGTGCGAGGCAACAGGGCTTAGCCCTTGCCTTGTGTGTTGCCGTGCGGCCATCTTTATCAACCGTGGCATACGTGTTTGCGCCCTAAGTGTTTCTAGGTGCCCTCTGCTTTTCTCGCCATAAATGTTCCTGGTAGCGCTTATGGTCAAATTTTCGAACAAAATAGCATCTCGATCACCAATTCGATCACGGCTTGTGCCTTTAACGGTTTATAATATGCAGCTTATAAACCAGTATGTCCATGTTATATGTAATAGTCAACGGGTAAAGCTGAAGTGGAGTTTGACTAGATGCAGTGGGACACCTTAATATTCTCAAAAAGAAATTGTTTCATTAACACGTTGACGACAACGCGCGTTTTGGGTTTTTGCGCCGCGTGGGACCACGGCGATTTTGCAGGCGCCGCCGCCTCACACAAAATCCGACGTTTTCTGGCAATGAAAAGGCAAGTTTCAGTTGCTTTTGCTGTAGTGAACCTCAAAATTATTTTTGACGCGGTTGCTCCACTAAAAACATGTCTTGCTATATGTGTGGGTCTGTACTTACTTCTACTGCTCTTTTTTATGACCAAGATTATCAGAATATAAAGGAAACTAGGAATGAACACAATTGGGAAATTCGTAGGGCTTAGAAAACCTTCGCTAAAAAGGAGCATATTCAACCATTCGATGAACCTCGCCGTGTCTAGTCATATTATGGTGTGGTCTATAGAATAGATGCAAAAAATTAGAAAAGAAGTAGCGCATGCGCGAAAAAAATTAATAATTTGTGTGTGCAGCGCATGCGCTGCACAATGTCGTCAACGTGTTAACTATTTTACATACAAAAGGGGGCGGAAGTGGTGTAGTGGCAAGTGGCACGCTTACCACGCGAGCGGTCCGGGGATCAAATCCTGGGTCGTGAGTCGCCCGGGCCAACCAAGCCTTCCATCCCTCCGGGGTCGGTTAATTGGTACCAGACTTGTCTGGGAGGATAAAAACACTGACTTGTACATCGGCTGGCCCCCGCAAGTCATTGTATAGGCCACATCGCATTCAAACGCCACTACGAATGTACAAAGTAGAATGCGTGCCGCATCCCAAAAAGGGATTGATCAACGGCAAATGCTTTATCCTTTTTATTACATACAATAGGCGCGCCATAAAAAAAAGTGGAACATTATTAGCGGACAACAGTCAGAGATTTCAGTATTACGAAGGAAAGTCAAAAAGAGAAACGAGAAGCTGAAGCAGCAAAAGTTGGAACTGCTTTTTTGACCAGTGAAGCTCATTTCGGAAAACTTGTAGGAATAGCGAGAAAGATCAGCTGAGCCTCTTAGCGACGTTTTATCTACTTGTTGATCTGAAAGGCTTGATCAAATAGAAATGCTGAACCGAGCGGCGCGGTCGTGGGAGGTTTTGTATTGAACGTTTGATTTTATTCGATCAAGCCTTTGTTGGGTCGTTATTATATGATTCACATGTATTAAGAGGGAATGGTTTCAAACGTCTCTGTTCCCTATGATGGGCGCAAATTGTAGAAACTCAGGAAACATCGAATCGAATGGATAACTGATCAATTCGTGATCTGACTACATCGAGGCTGTTACTTTCAACACCGAATATTCCTGGAAATTCGCTATTGAGCCGTTTTGATTGCTGCGGGAACAGCCGACAAATTTCCTGAAATCGGTTGGGTGGATGTCTTTTCAAATTCAGCCCGAGTTGAAAGGTCTCTTTAATTCGGATCATGTCGCCGCGTTCTAAATCGTCAAAGAACCGTAGTGTGCGCGCGATAGCCTGCGGCACCATCTGGTTATAGCATCTATGCGAATCCCAGAATGCTTGAATATGCTTAAATCCAGCAAATTTTGTAAGGGTCACGAAAACGTGTCATAAACATGTAAATAAAGAGTAATAGAGTAATATAAAGTCCTCTCGTGCGTTGTCCGACTCTACCCACTCTTTTTCCGGTCTCCTGGACTTTCCCGACTGAAAATGGAAAGTTTAGTGCAAACTCCGCCCACTCGTGGCAGCTACCACCAATCAGCATTGACCTCCATTCCGTAGGACGAACTCAACAGTTTTTCCCGAGTTATGAATTTTCGTGGATAACTCCGCCCCTTTGGTTATGCCCCGCCCACCGATGACGGTTGGCCTCCTTCCCTCCACCCCCCTCTACTCCACTTTCCCGGTAACGCGGGACACTTTTGGTACGAGTTTATCTTGGAACCGAGTTATGAATTTCCGTCGCAAACTCCGCCCACTTTGGTCATGCCCCCGCCCACCGATGACAGTTGGCCTCCACTCCTCCCCACCTCTACCACCTTTTTCTCTGTAGGCTTTCTCCCAACCGAGTTATGAAATTTTTCATAAAGCACTGCTTTTTTGGAGAACGCCCCGCCCACCGGGGGTGGGTCTCCCTAATTCGATCTGACTTACCAATGCACACCTTTACCCACTTTTTGGCCCAGTTTCGAGGCTGTTTTGTCACTGAATTTGAAATCTTGGTCTCAGTACAGTTCATTTCGATGCACGCCACGCCCACTGTGGGCGGGGCTCCGCTTAGCTGATGTGTGTTTTGTACTTCGTGAGACCTTGCCCACCCATCCCACTTGACCCGGTCCTCCAGGCGGATCCCGAGGAGCTAGGGAATTTCGTGACAGACATACAGAACGACAGACAGACGACAGACGAAGCGCTTTATAGTAAGTAGGATATCAGATTGCCATTCTCCTAATCTAAGTATCGTGCCTGGTAGCCTTGATGCTTTAGCAGCCCTCGAGATGTTTTTCGAATTCCTTAGAGGCAGTGGGATGAAATGATGTCCTTCATGTTTGGTATTTGCGCATGGATTACTTACAAAAGGTTCCCACTTTAGCATGTTGTATGGATTACCTACGAAAGGTTCCCACTTCAACATGTTCGCTGAGAGTACGTCGAGTAGTTAACCGTGCTGTCGCGGATATCTTGGTGACTTTGATGTTTTTTCTCTTCGACTGGTTGTGAGGGGACATACCCTTGAGCGGTCCCGTATGAGCAAAACGGATTACGAATGTAACAAGAGTAGAGGTTCACGTGGAAAAAAAGCATAATTTGTCCTGCTCCGCCTACTTTTACGTCAAGAATATGGTTCTTGCAGTCTCACCGGCTTATCTTTCACGTGTAGTAGCTTCATATGAGGTCACCAGGTTTTCTTGGAAGCGTTATGCTAGGTTCTTATATCAGCTAAGCAAGTGAACTAAGTAATAAAATCGAGGTAGCTTCAGATACTGTTAATGTTTGCGGTGGACTTCACTGCTTTCCGCACTTCTTCACTGGAAATATGCATCCACATTCCTCTGTAGTTTTTCAAGCTCGCCGGAAGTCTATCTGTAAAACTTGGCCCCGAAGTTGATTATATTACGGACATATGGTATCCATTACAGATGTTGAAGTTGAAGACCCACTCAAGCAACATATGGGTGCCTTTATACATGCCCAAGCGAACACTCAGGACATAGCAAATCTCGATCAAAAAATTTACGATGTTGTTGATCAGGTGAGGTTATGGCCTTTAGGTTTTTGTGTGCATCAAAACGATTTCTTGCGCACCAGGAGTATTCTGTCCTCTCCATTGTAATAAAATTTTCAAGATAAATGAATGGAAAACGCGGCGAGATTTCTACGTGCGCTTTGCCGACCACCCTCACGAGTTCATTAGAAAGTGGTTGGTTAGCCAGAGCCAGGATCTAAAGGTGAGTATAACCACCTATTTATCTTATTCCTCTTTGTCGCTCAAACCAAGTTGCTATTTTTCTAGACCATGACCGAAGCAAGTGGTGAAGGTGAAGCAGAGCGACGAGCAGATCATTACTACAAGCCGGAAACACAGGAAGGTGTTTTCAGGTTAGGTGTTTTCGATTTATTTGCTTTCAATCGAGAAATATCAGGCTAATCGTGCTAATTAGCTTTCTTCAAATATAACTTTTTTTGGAAGGCCATGGTTTTGTTGGTGAGAGTACCAGGTTACGACGTCAGCATTTTCATGGTGTATTTGTGGATTTTGTACACCATGGAAATGTAGACGTCGTAACCTGGTACAATTGAGACCAATTGCATCAGCTTAAGCGTACAGGTCAATTATCATATTACATCTCAACGATGTCACATAATTGTGCTGGCTTGAAGTGATGACCTGAAAATGTTTTGAAGCTTGGTGATAGGGTTGGAGGAGAACTCTGCCGGTTCATGTTTTGCATGTTTGAACGGAAGTGACCGTTTTTATGCACTATCCAAAAAGTCGAAATGTTAATTTTAACGTCATCCCCTACGCGTTGATATTTTAACATGAGCAAGCATAGCCTAGTTCATGCGGTCAATCTTTCGAAACACGCTAAGAATGCGAATATTTTGGTGTTGATGGGATATGTTATTTTGTGCGAAGTGCTTACGTTTGTTTTGAGAATTGAAGTTGGCTTCATGCCTCGCTACATCTGCTTTTACCTGTTTTAGAGTTAGCGTACTATTGGAAGCTTTCATACTTGCCGCTTTTGCAAGATCCATGAGATTGACAGTTGTTGTATGTTCTTACATTGCATGTTATGGGCGTTGATGATGGGAAATAATTAATATAAGTTCTGAATTGCAGGTACATCTACCAAAAAGTGCAACAGAAGAGAGCCGAATTAGAGCAAGGTCTTGGTGTCCGGAATAACTGAGCTCTTTCCTTTATTGATGTGTTATATAATAAGTGTAGTGCAGTGTTCCTGTTTGTAAAAAATTTATGGGGCTGGATGAAGTCCCTTTCTTTTTGCCCATCTTAAAAAGTGTTTTCCGTGCATATATTTTCTCTCGTTTTTCCAAGTTGAAGTCGTTGTAATGCAACTGGTCTCATTTGCAGTTTGCACATTCTTGACATCTTAAGTTCGCTATACTCATTGGGTTAGAATGCGGTCTGTAATAATAAACATCAATTGTACGCTACTTGCATGTACTGGAGTGATATTAGAGTAGAATAGCTCGCGAGTATTTCATTCACTAACACGTGTTGTGTATTTCATGGTGTGACTTCATGGTTTTGCATGAGTGACCGTTATTCATCTGATTGTGAGCTTCAACAACTTGATAACTGATATGATGCCACGTGCAAGTAGTTGGACACCTGCGGACAAATCCTAAAAGTGCACTCATTGGATAGAGCTTCTTCTTAGGTGCATTTGGGTAATCAAGGTTTTGTCGTCGAACCATGAATTCTGACCACATCCTAATGCCTATGGATTGGTATTCTAATCCGCTCAAAAGATTGGTCAGTAGTTCTGCCAAGCTCGCGGAAGGCGAGCAGACTAGTGTCTATCGGGTCAGGGGAGCTTTCTAATGTGGTTGTGATTGATTTGGTGGTCCCGTTGTTTGATAGGGAATTGCTGTGGGCTGTAAGAAATCGGTGCGAGTTGCGCTCACTTCACCCGGGGATTATTCTCCGTGGGGAAATTGTTGAGTGCGTGCGAAAGTACTTATGAACTTTAACCCAGTCTGCGCAATAGCTTCACTTCTTCCGAAAGAAGGCAGGTCCTATTTATGGTGTAATGATTTGATCTGATAATCTGTACAGTATGGTGTTTGCCGAATACCCTTGCTACCCTTCTCTTGCTTGTTTTGAGCCTGGAATCTACAGCACATTGATGTACTGTACCGTTGACATGAAACTCATATAACTGAGACAAGCTAAGGCATTTAGGGTCACTTCCATTTAGGGGGTGTATGCGAATTAGCGCGCTCAACGTGCTTGAAACTAGCATATTCTCTTAGTGTAAAGGTTTCAGGATTAAGCCTTAGAAGGGAGGGAAAACCCCGGCTTTGGAGCAGTCGTCATTTTCTCCGAGAGACTTCCTCCCTTATTAGGCTTAGTTCTAGCTGCTTACTAGGTAAATATTACTTTTCGTAGACGTTTACGTTATAAAACACAAGAACACATACATTATATTAGGTTGTCCCATAATTAGTGAATCACTTTGGGTATTTTTGAATTCAATTTTTTTCTTTTTATTGGAAGTCTCTTGCTCATCCAAACATACACCTCTGTCATCTACAATGTATTGCCTATACATGGGAATTTAGTCGCTGTCTTTCCTCTGAAATTCCAGGAGCTCTTGATCGAAGAAAGACTGGAAGTCGGGTTTGAGGTCATATCACACTTAGCGTAAAATTTCTTCTTGGAGAAGAGTGCTATAGCTCAGAAAAGGTTGTCCTTGGTTGGTAGAGGAAGTTGTGCTTTTGCTGTCAGAACTCCCGAATCGCTTGAGCTAGGCTACTGTTCCTTGGAGATTTGCTAGCACACTCCACCCAGTCCACAACCCTGGTGAATATGCTGGATGATCACTGTAAGGAACTAAGGGAGATCAGAAGGAACATGATGATGTCAGATCGTGTTCGGAGCTGATTCGGGCACAGAGCATGTGAGATACAAATTCCATATTTTAAAATCTTTACGACTCTACGGAAGATGTCTACATTCCATCATCTAACAAGTCGGATATGCTCTGACAAATAGCGACTACTTTGTCCAGATCCAATCTCAGTGGCGCTGGGTAGAGCAGCAAGATTGCCAGTAGAGGGGTAGTTGGAGTGTGGGTCATCTTCAAATCAAAAAGCCAAATCCGGAACAGAGTGAACCGTGGATTGAAGGAGTGTGTCCTCGCCTATTTGCTGGTTGATCCGTTATGTTGCTTGGCATTTGAAAGATGCTAATCAGAAGTGATGAAGAAGGAAAGCCAAAAAAAGGTTCTTGAAAAATTGATGTATTTGCCACGTAAGGCAGCGTGTAAATGGGCTGACCAAATCTTTGGTAGAATAGTGTAGGCACTACTTAACATGTTCCACGCCTTTACCATTTTTCATGGGTTTTTTATAGCAATAAATGTAAAGTGATTCACTAATTATGGGAACAACCTAAATATATACTCGATATCGAGAGTTGGAGGAGGCGTTTCCGGAAAGTGACGTCACTTGATAGGAAACCTATGTGATAGCTCCAAGATACATCGCTGGAACAGCAAAGCTAAGCTGGCAACAGGGGTAATACCAACGCACAAACAGCTTATCCACAAACTTGCATCAAGTGAACGTCACTTCCGGTGACACGCCTACCCAAACTTCGTATATCGCCAGTAAAAAACCAGAAGAATCTAAGCATAGAGCTGATAGCAGTTTGTAATATTAAAGGACTGCTTGAGCTAAACTGGCATTCGAGCAGATTACGCTCCACAATGCCCCCCCCTCCTCCCTCCTGTCTGCAATAGACTCAGCAGTTATATAACTAGGCTGTTAAAAAATCAATTTAGAGTCCTCCCTTAATTCCGAAATACCCGTCTAAGCACAGCTTTGAGAATGACTTAATTTGTTCAATATTGCGGTTTCGAAACCTAAATTAGGATTATATTGCCCTAATTGGGTAGCATTATCTCATATTATTAATACGAAGTTCATACGACATTTTTTTATTGATCTTTTGCAACGTATATACTACAAATTGCTTCCCAACTTTGAGGGTTATTGATGAGGAAGAAGTTAAAGCTGTAATGTGCATAGTTTTGAGTTAAATCTGGTCGTTACCAAAAAATTGCGTAAAATGACAACAAACGCAGTGGGCGTGCGTGGGCTTCTTACTCATTCACTCACAACGATGAGTGCGTCCACTTGCGTTGTAAACAGCATTCCTGCGGTTTTGCCGAGCTCGGTCTCAACGAAAAGTCTTTCGAAATTCCCATCAAAGCAGCGGTTCATGAAAATGTGGATGACCGTTGATTTGGTTTGCAGTGAGTTACTAGTACGATTCAGCGCATTATCTGAAAGATATCGCTTCTCATGTTACTTTTACTAACGAATACTTAGTGCAACGTCGGTCTGGGTTTGTTATGTTTGTGTGGTCTCAGTGGCCGATGTCAGACTTTGCGATTGGAGCGATTTTGCACCAATTGCAGGAGCGACGGATCGCTTGAGCGATGCGAGCGACGGGAGATTTACACCGCCGACCACCGATAATTCGGCGCCATCAGTCGTAAATCTCCCGTCGCTCGCATCGCTCAAGCGATCCGTCGCTCCTGCAATTGGTGCAAAATCGCTCCAATCGCAAAGTCTGACATCGGCCAGTGAGAGTAAGATAAGCGCTTCCCCATGATTGGACAGGAAATGGCAGAATCTCCACTGGTAAAATCCATTGGCTTGTAATAGAAGGGGTTCCTACATTGGATTTTGGAATCAGTTTAAGTGTCCTAGTGTGATGTGAAGCTCCCGCTTAGTATTTGTTCCATCTCTTCCTTATGTTCTCTTCTACCCTGCACTTTCTTATGCATGTCCAATAAAACGAAAGAAAAACTACAGCGCCATTGTGGAAAGTGGTCGTAATGCTTTATGCTTCATGTGTATGATGCTGCAAACGTTAATTGCCCGGGAACATACAATAGACATATCCTTTTTCTCCATGGGTCTGCTGTCCTTTTCCTATTACATTGTTTTAAATCTACTTATCTTGTCTTTTTCTGACTTCACAGGTTGTTGGGATTTGACTTCTTGGAGGGTAGTGTCAGTGTTTTGACTTATGTTGCACCTCAAGCAAGTGACGATGATTTCCTCGTTTGTTTGTCTCTCATTGTCGTCCCGCTAGATGGATGTTACACTGAGGAGGCTCTGCTGTCCTTCACTTCAGCGCCGTTCTAAGTACACCGTCAAGAGCATATGGCTTGTTCCAACAAATGTCCTCAATCTGATTCTTTCCTTTTTATTTTCGCTTCTTACTGGCTGCTACCCTCTAAGTAGCAATGCTGTGCTTTTAAGAACGCGTCGTACCATCAGTATTGCACGTTCATTGGCGTATGAGCAAATACAGTAGATCTTCTTGTTTCATTGTTCCTGTACTTTATTCAAAATGACCTCTTACTGAGGGCTTTGTGACCTCCAGAATATTCAGGAGACTTTTCTGGGGAACCATTTAGTGCTTAAATGTCCGTGGTGCTCTATCCTCATAATCTGATACAGGTTTCAGCAAGTTTTAAAAAGATGAAGGATGGAGATTCGGCGCAGGACAATCCCTTGTGGGATGCGTAATGCATTCTACTTCTATTCAGAATCCTAGTAGCTTGAATGCGGTATGGTTTATATGCAATGACTTGCGGAGGACTTGAGATCCGATTGGAAAAGACATATAGACGTGAA